GAAGGGTTTTCATCCCACCTAGCCTTCTATTCTTTTTTTTCTGCCCCGGATTCTGGACCAGAATTATTATTTATTTGTTTTGCCTACTGGGCCCTTCTGCAACGCCTGGGAGCAGCTGACAGCACAGGAAAGCACACCCCACTTCCTTTCCCTTCATCGTTGCAGGTTATGAGAGCTCGGTGAAAAAAGAAAGTAATATCTTACAAACTTAAGTCCTGCTGCTGGGAACACAGCGTGCTAAAGTGATAAGCCTCGTCAGTGAAGTCTGCAGTTCCTGGTACCGAAAGGCACTAAAGCAGTGCAAGCTTTTTTGGGGGCAACCTGGCCCAGAGCAGGTTGGGCTTGAAAACAATAAGAACTCTAATTTCTGGCATAAGATTGGCTGAATCAGGGCAACAAGCAGACCACGTCTGCACACGCATCTGCGTAGCAACACTTCCACAGGAGGGAGCACATCAGACCTGACTACAGACGGCGGCAGTACCAGCCGTTAAAAGCCACCTTGTGATGGGCCGCGACGGCAGTGACAGAAACACCGTCCTGTGGCCTCCCACGGTGGCCCTTGCCGGTTGGCGTTTGGTCAGCCTGGTTCTGCGCGTTTGCAGCGTTCGCTTCGTGAGGCCGTCTGCTCCACACAGGCTGAACTGGGGGGGGGGAGGTGGCCAGGTGAAGCAAAAGGAAGCGCCAACCAAAATCTATTAAAGCTGCTGGACACAGTCCAGCCGAGGGACAGCTGACCCAGAGTTGGCTCCATGCAACTCTCTGTAACAGAAGCAGAGCTTTAGAAGGCAAATCATTGCTGTTACCTGAGCGGATGCTGAACAATCTGCTGCTGCTTTATTGTGTGGTCAAACCTTATTTACCTCTCTAAACTCCAGGTTCTCATTCTATAACCGTGGCGTGGTGATGATGAAGGCTGCAATTTATGTCTTTTTACATAGAGCAATGTGGGAGTTTCTTGTATTTAGCTCAGGTTATTCCGGGCCTTGGCAGTCTCAAGGTCATTTTGTAGTCCTCCTCTCCTGCTGTAGTGCATCAGGAAGGTCTACGCCCAGACAAAAGGTAAAAGCCCATACATCCTTTATTTGAGCATTTCACAAATAAATTACAAGTTTCTTTGCAACCACGTCATAAATCAAAACGTTTATTTACACCTCAGAAACAGCAAGCAATTCAGCAACTAGGGCCCAAAGGAACGATTAACTGGAAAAGTAGCTGAATTAAGTATCTTTAAAATCAAAATCTTTTCCTCCTTGCTTGAACCTTAAAAAAAGAAAGAAAATTGTAAAAAAATATCTTGGTGGTAACTCAGAGGCAGAGTTTGTCATGGGGCACATACAATTTTACAGGAGGGTTTTGTCTGAAATGGCAGCAACAGCACAGCTCGTTTGTACTGAATTCACCATCACAGTCCACCAGAGATTCTACAGTCCCAGGCAGGGTGTGTATGCCTGTACAGACACATAGTCCTTAGACTACATTCACTCTAACCCCAGGTCATCAAATACAGGCATTGCTGATGCAGAGGAGGAGTGTAATGTTTAGGGGGTGAATGACACTTTCCCAAACAGCTGTCCCACTGAAAGCACGGTAATGCAGAATTTTGGCTATAAACCCTTCCCTTTCCGCTACTGGTGACCTGCTGATACACAGACAACTAAAGATGAGTCAGTAGACAATTATGCATATCTCCAAATAATATAATTGTGTTAAAAGGTGCCAGCTAAAGGTAGCATAAATACAACATGAGAGTTGGGATAAGCCTGGGGTTTAGTGTGTGGTTTTCTGCCTTTTTTCTTTTCTTTACATCAGACTGGTTTGGCACACGTAACCCATGCTGTCCCTTAACTCATGTATTCATCCATAATTCATGGAATTAAACTGCTTATTCCAAGCCCCCCTGTTGTATTAGTCTCCCTCCATCTGTATACATTATATATATATATTTATATGTGTATGTGTATATCTCTATCTATCTACATATATACACACACATAGCAATTGTGCAACTAGTAACTTTCCACTGAGAGCGAATGAGTGTATCCGTTTCATTTGGACAAATACAAATCAACTGGCGTATCCTGATGTGAGGCAAGAGAACTCTTGTGTAGTCAGTGGGTTATGTGTTTTACATAGTAAAACAGTCAGCTATATCTGCTTTAAATAGAATGGTTATAATGATAATTACTAATGTACTTTGCATGTTAATTCTAAAGATTATAGATCACAGAGTTAATCGAAAGAAAATAACTGCTATTGTATTATTTATCTTTTTGTTAGCATTGGACAGCATCTCAGACGACAGAGTTTCTAGAGATGCAATAAAGGGAAGATAGGATCAGAGTTTTGCCTTAGACTTGGTGTTCTCAAGCTGATGTGATGTTAATATAATTTATCTTGTGGTTTGGTTTTGTTTTTTTCTAATTAAATAAGACATTATTAAACCCATTCAGAAAGAGACTTTTAGCCTTTAGACAAACAGCGATGTAAAATTATTTGCGTAAAAAATTCTGCTGTGTTTCAAGTGGCTGAGTGTATTATTGAGAATTGAGAAGAACATTGGCAGCTTTCTCAGTATTTCAGACAGGAGGTGTTTGCAAAGGAAAGATCGATGATGTAAAAGCTGTTAATATAACATATGTCTTTTTGTAGTGATAAAACATTTAAGCTAGGGCCCTGAAAACTGATTGTAAATCCATAATTTAATAAATGAGGTTTGTATTATAGAGATCCCTAACTTAAATGACTACGCAAGAGACCTGGATGAATTATTGGACTACAGACCACAGCCATTCCAAGCAAAGGCTAAACCAAATTATGCTGAGTGCCTTAGAGACACGAAGTGGTCGGTGAAGGAAGTGAGTCATCTGTGGGAGGCATCTAAGCTGTAGGTTTCTCTGTATGTCACAAAAGACAGACTTTCGATAATATATAAGCACTCAACAATCCTGTGACAAATATTGCTGCTTTACTGTTCACAGCAGACCAGTAAAAGCAATGTGTGGGGAGGTTTGGATGAAAAATTTCATCTAAATATGATTAACTGATTCTCAAACAATTCTAGTGATGGAGTTGCTCTTTGATTTACACCAGTGCAAACGTGATGAGAACAGGGCTCAGAAAGTGTATTAGCCAGTGTTCCACTCTTACCTAATTTTCCTCGACACCCAGTAGGAAATTCAGCTCGTTTCCCTTTGTTTTAATCTCCAGACCTACAGTTACTGAACAAAACGTACATTAATAAAATGCACATAGGCCTATTGTAAAAGCATATGTATGAAGTGTACAGACAAGGGTTCAATTAGCAAGTATACCACAAATGAGACCTTTGTCTTGCTAACAAACTCCTCAAACTGATTTTTATACCCAATTTGTGTTTTAACAGCAGATACTCTTTTCAAGTGAAAGGATTTCGCACAACACGTATTGTGCATGTTACAAAATTAAAATCAACAAGTTCACTGCCTTTCTGACTCTAGACAGCATCGCATGTCTACACAGACTGAAATAAATGTTGTAGTGAGCAAAATAGCTAGGTAGAAATAAGTGCTATGTTATAAAACCAGCAAGCTTGGCTGAACAAACATTAAACATAATTAACTATTAAAAAAAATGACAACCAATTTTGTAACTTCTCTACTTTTCCATGATATTGTAGAAAAACTAATAAATTACTGTTGCTCCTTTGTTTCAGGGAATGGGCATCATCTTTTGAGCCAGGGCTGACAATCTTATTCAGGTAGGAAAACTCAGATTCTAATATGGTTCCTCACTTGTGTAACGCTACAGTAAGTGCCACAATCTCTTGTAAAATGGGGTTTGTTCTCAGGTACAGAGCGGGACAAACATTAACATGGCAGCTTCATCTTCTCTTTGCACGCTTAGGTAGTCCAGTGATTAGCTCTGTCTGAGGCCTAGACACACAGAGTAAAGGCTGGGAGGCTTTAATCTAGGAGCAGGAATCAAGTGATAACAGTGAATGAAGGTTTTGACGCATCTTGATTCAGTTTCAGCCATGCTACTGACCTCTCTACATATCAAAAGCTTGCAGTATTATCCAAGAAGAAAGATCGCTTGTTCTCGGGCACCAAGTGGTGGAAAGGGTCTTCCCATTGCTAGCGCAGTTCCAGGCAGAAGAGATTTTTCTTTGTTCCCCATTTTGGATGCCCTTGGAATGACCCACCAAATGCTATGTGAGCCTTGGTTTAAAGGAGAAAAGGGTGGCTCTGTCTGGTACTCGGTAGAAATGACACCAATGTTAATGGGTGTCTTTCCAGAGATGGGTTTTGCTTGATAGACAGAGGAGGAAAGCCAGTAGAAAAAGAGTGTTTGTAGGGGAGGATATTATAATTTCTTTTATGCAAGACAGGTTTTGTACATCAAAGCAGAGGGTGCAGTTTACCTTTGGGTGCATTTGGATGCATTCATTAAACATACATGTTGAAAATCCTGTGGTGTTATGTTTTCCTTTTGAAAAATTTCCCTGAAAATTATATTCTTTTAAAAGATACGGCATGACTTGATGCTAAAGCAGCAGCACATGATTATTACAAGGTAAGGGCAGAGAAAGAGAACTAGAAGCACGTCCATGTTAATGTCTGAGATCAGGCACTTTCCCGCTGAAACGCCTGCGGCTGCCTCCCAGCCCACTCGGGAAGCCCTTGCTCCACAGAAACTCCCACTAACCTCAAAGTACCACTTTGGTAACTGAAACACCTAGAGCGTGCTGCAAGAGAAACAAGGTCAGTGCGAGATCTCGCTTGGTCAGGGCTGCAGGAGTTAAGCTGGAAGAGAAACATAGGTTCCTGTCTGAAGGCAGCTTGTATCTTATCAAGAAATCTGTTAGGGAAGTTCACAACACAAACTGATTTTTTCTCTGCTGTTGTTATTACTCCTTTTGATTTAAAAAAAAAAAGAAAGAAAAAGAAAAAAAATAAAGATCTGTTTCATATTTGGTACAATACAGGAAGTCAGAGAAAAGCTATTGTACAGCAATTTTCAACCACCAACACACATTTAATATCTAGTGTAGCATTATGGAAAACTAAATGTATGTTTGGACTTTTTAATGCTTCCAAAAAGCTTTACTATTGAAACATATATGTGGTGTGGAAGATATGCTCGTAATCTCACTGTAGTAAAGACAACATACAGTATGACTCGTAAGTACTGTAAAAATGCTAACTAAAGAATGCAGCTGCAGAGTTCTATTGCATAAGGAAGCTTTCTTGTTTAAACTTTAAATAAGCAAGTTTATTAAAATATCCTAAGACACTTACCTTACCCTAGTTACTGGCAAGCTCTAATAAAAGCCACAGTCTGTCACTAGTATACTTTTTGTGTTAATTTTATAAAAATTTGGTGTGAGCTTTGATGGTTCATTTACAATTTATTACAAGATGATCATCTTGGTACAGTTAGAAGGGGTTTTTAACCTTACATGCTCACAGAATAAAAAAGGATTCATATTCATATGTAACGAACACCCTTTTTTTCCATGTCTGCAAACAAGTGTGGTAAGTTTACACACACAAAGAAATGCTCTTGTTACTCTTAACTGGAAACTGTGTACATGTGTATGTATGTATATATATATTCAAAACTATATATATGCGCGTGGGAATATATTTATAGAACAGGGCATCTGTTTTCCTCCTTGCGCTTCAGTGCAACGACAGCTGCACAGAGGCTGGGAGAGACCAGTGCTGCTGAGAGGTCCTTTGCTTTTGCTGTTCCCATCAGCTTCCCGCGAGCAGGCACCTCCCTACCGAGCTGCGTCTGCAGAGCTGACGAGAGGCTTAAATTTTGTAAACTGCCCCAGCGAGTAACGGCCTGCAGGAACAGAAGGGAAGCTGCCTTCAGCCCCTGTAAAACCCGGCCCAGCACCCCGGCTGCCGTAATCCTGCCCCGCACGGTGCCGGCCGCAGCTGCCTGCGGCCCGCTTCCTCACACACGGGAGCTCGGCAGAACCTCCCGGCGCTGCTCCCGCCGAACTGCGGAGCCAAGCTGGATCGTCATTTCCTTTTGGGGCGCAAGGGGAGCAGCTCAGATCAGAAACAAGCCAAGGGACGTGCGTTTCTTGTTTGCCGAACCCGAGGTACAAGACCCTGCGGAGGCCTGGGCCTGCTTTCTGTGCCAACAAAGCGGCTGTCGTGCGGTGGGACGGCAGCAGGCGCTCTCCTTCTGGCCGCCCCAGACACAGCAAACGCAGTAGGTTTAGCCGTGGTGGAACAGGTACAATTCATCTGTGGCTGTATTGTTCTGCTCTGCCCCTTGCACGCTCCAGATGAATATTTTATAAAAGCTAAACCTGTCGTATAACTCTTCTCTCTATATAAATATATATATATACATACACTCATACATATACAAATACTAACCCACAGACAAAATATTTTCTGAACAGTTGAATAGCAACAAGTCAACAGATAGAAAAAAATGGAGTCAATCTGTTTTCTGCTCCCCCAAGGTCCAGTTTAGATGTCAAGGTCTTTTAACATTCAGAGAAAATTCGCATAAACGTTGCGTCTTGCAAGGTGAGTCCATTAATGAACGGAAGGTAGGGTAGAGGCTGTCAAACACCAATGTATAGTCGGACAAATTAAGTGAGGTTGCAAATTAAACAATCTGGAGCAACTGAGGCCTAGTAGTGAAGAACAGTAACTGTAAACTGCAATCTTCAGATCTGACGTTTTCCTTTTTCTCGTTGCCATGGCAACTCGGTAGGACAGCTTCAAATGTCAGGAGTTCTTACAGACCTAGACGATGGGAAATGTGTGTGATTATTACTGCGCAGATCAGTATCTTTTAACTTCTTGGTTTTTCCCCAATCAAATGACTGAGTGCACACACACTTGTCAGTAATTAAATATAAATTATCTGGGTTCAGAAGCTATTATTTGTGAAGATAGAAACCTCCAAGAGAAAAACCCAAAATGTCACCTGGGGCATTCAGAGACCTTCGTAGTGCAAATCAGGAAGATGGAGCGCAGAGGTTTGAGCATAAATCTCGAGCCAGGACCCAATTGTCCCCATTTGACACCTTGATCATTTGTGTTAGTGCAAGAATGCAAGTAAAATGCCAGTGAGTCACTCCCTTGCGTGCACTCACACATCTTTATAAAAATAACACACTTATAATGCCGTATTGTTTGTGAATATATGAGGGAATAAAAGAGCTGGCATATCACATTAATGTTGCTACAGAAATATAAATGTTATGTGGGCTAATTTTTTTAAAAATAAAGTGGAGGTGGCACAACTTGAGTGATTTTACCTATTTCAAATGGGCACTCTGATAACACAAAGGTAGTAAAGAAATTCAGAAAAAAACCCAGAGATTAAGAGCAAATGTAACATTAGTTGTAGCTAATGGGTCACGTTCCTCCACTTTCACTTGGACATTAGTAAATTGCAAATGTTTGGCTTTGCAGTAAAAGCACATAAGAATAGTAGGAATAACATAAGCAAAACACGTAGCTATGCTTGATCTGGCTCCTGTCAAGCAAATACAACTTCTGACCTTACAGTGTTGGTTTACTGGTTGTACTGGTTTTGGCTGGAGTGGAGTTAATTTTCTTTACAGTAGCTCGTAAGGGCTGTGTTTGGGTTTGTGCTGGAAACAGCGTTGATAAGGCAGGGATGTTTTTGTTGCTGCTGAGCCGCACTCACACAGAGCCAGGGCCTCTTCTGCTCCTCACCCCACCCCACAGCGAGGGGACTCGGGGTGCACAAGGGGTTGGGAGGGGACACAGCCGGGACCGCTGACCCCACTGACCAAAGGGGTATCCCAGACCGTGTGACGTCATGCTCAGCCTACAGAGCTGGGGGAAGAAGAAGGAAGGGGGGACGTTTGGAGTGATGGTGTTTGTCTTCCCAGGTCACGGTTACGTGCGATGGAGCCCTGCTGTCCTGGAGGTGGCTGAGCTCCTGCCTGACGAGGGGAAGTGGGGAATGAATCCCTTGTTTTGCTTTGCCTGTGCGTGCAGCTTTTGCTTTGCCTGTCTTTATCTAAACCCGTGAGTTTTCTCACTTTTCCCCTTCTGTTTCTCTTCCCCATCCTGCCAGGGGAGCAAGCGAGCAAGCAGCTGTGCGGTGCTCAGCTGCTGACCGGGGTTAAGGCACAACGGTGCCTTGGAGGATTCACGCTCTCTGCGCTGGGAAGAGACAACTGCTGTATCAAAACACAAAAACGCAAGTCAAACTTACACATCCAAACTGACACACTCAGCAAATGTTTGTCTAACGTCTATTGCATGTGTACACGTAAATGGTGCAGTATCAGTAGGTTTGTCACAACCACAGACACATTCAGCCCAAACAGTACCATAATGGCCATTATTAGACGCTGGCTTGTGCTCTTTACTCATCTTTAATGATCTGCTTTTCTTTTTGGGCAAATCAAGTTTAATATGATTACTGACAAGGCTATTTTACTTTATCTATTTCTTTCTTGGTATTATTTTAATTGACTTCAATATTAAATTCTTCCAGGTAGAGGCCTGTCCAGATGGGCTGTGCAGCAAGGCAAGCACCTGGGTAGCGTGCAACAGCCTGTCCTTACCCCTGCAGCCCAGCCTCTGTTCTGTTAAATAAAGGTAAGTAAACCAAATTAAACAAGCGTAAGAATCCATGGAGGGACTGATGGATGGGGCTCACTGAAGTGAGAAGCATCGGTGAGACTTCCAAATAAGATCTGGAATTGCTTGGCACACAGGTTTTTAGTGTGCTGTTTAAAGAAAAGGTCTGGCCACAAAATTAGGATCCAGACTTAACTTACAGGGAATTTGTAATCATGACTGTGAAAGTTTGGATATATCTGGATTAGGGATTCCAGCTAGGACTAAATTCTCATGAACAACTTGATCTCCTGGGCTAGTGAAAAGCAGGAGTTCAGGACTGTGATCTCACAGACCATCTGAAAAATAGCACTTCCAGACCACAATGATGCTTAGTATCATTAAAGGGCATTTGTTCAATCCTGACTCAAAGGAAGTAACACTAGTTTTTGGATTGGCAAAGCTACTCTGAATCTTGAGGTGATCCCTGGAAGTCTTCCTGCTAAGGACAGGCGCTTGTGTGTGATGAATGAACAGCAGCTGTAGCACTGAATTTCTGTACAATCCATAGGCTGAAACTTCACCAGAGGAATCTGTCAGCAAAAAATTTATAAATATCACACAAATTCAAGCAGCTAGTGACTGCTTCACCAACAGCTTGTAAATAATGGGCAATATATGTTGATTTATGTGCAGACCTGAAGAAAAGCTTGTTTATTTTACATCATATTGACAGATATAATGAATGTTACTACCTTATCCTACACCTTGCCTTTTCTGAGTAAACTACATGTTAAAAAATACTTAGTTCAGCTCTAATTATGAATATTTTCCTGTGCTAGTTTTTCCATCTGTTGAAGGCTAGCTTCTCTCACACAATATAGGCATAGTTTTGGTTGTCTCTGTTAGCTGCCTCTTCAAGCACCACCCCAGCTCTTCTCCCTTTCATTTCAAAACTCTGCAGCCCCCACCCAGACTTTCTTTCTACTGAAATTGTTTCTCAGCTTCATCCTTTCTGACCCATCATCTGTCTTTGACCCATTTAATCATATGCCTGGAAATCTGGTGTTTTGCTTGGCTCCTGTGACGACTCCTGTCATTTTATTATGATTTCTCTAATGACTTTTTCTGGGGAAACCTTTTTTCCTCCCACTTTACTTTCTTGCCCCTTTCTGTGACAACACACATGTTGAGCAATCACTCCGGTGCTCACAGTTCAGAGCACAGCTTACTCTCTTTACCTGCTTTTCCATTTAGACTGAAAAGTCGACCTCTAGCTCTGATACCTTTTCGATGTTTAGCTGACAGCTCTGCACAGCTAAAACTGAGCTCTTAAATCTTTCCCCTAAAGCACTCGCTTCTAGTTCTTCCTTTGATTGCTCAGGACAGCACTATCATCCTGCCTCTTATTCAAGCCCAGGAAACAACTGGAGAAGGTTTTTGTCATGGAATCTTCTTCCTAGGTCTGCTGTATATTTAGGTTATGTCTTAATCTAGAAGATTCTCTTTCACCCATCATCCCAAAGGGTTTTTTCTAGCCATTCAAACAGCTAAATCTCCTACCCAGGCTCTCCTCAGTTAGCAGTTTTGCAACAACTTTTCACAGCCCTTGACAAATTCAAGGTATTGTGCTCATACCCTGCCAGTCTTTTGCTGTACAGAGCATTTTCCTAGTCTGCCCCTTTGACAAAACCTCCGTGACTCTGACTCCTTCACAAGCCTCTTCCCCACTGCACGTGTTTTCCTGGATTATCCCTACATGACCTGGTTTTCCTCATTCTCAGCCCATGATGGCAGCTTTCACTGACGTATTTTCAAAGAAGCCTGTCTGGGCTTTTCCCCAGGCGTTCCCATGCAATAGGAGGAGCTCCCTGCAAGCACCCATAAAATGCTGTCTCCTCAACATCTGCTTTTGCTGACGCATCTGCAACAATCTTGGCATTGGCAGAGGGTGCCAAGACTACTATGAATTCAGCTCAGCCCTTTCACCAGCCTTAACTGAGGTTGTGTTATAAGAACTATCTTGTTGCAGACACTGTTTGGAAGGATAGCTTATATACCTCTGCTCATTAACAATGACTTGGACCTTTTGGAAAGGTGGGATTGCTAGTTTTTGGCCTTTAAAATCAGATTCTACGTTCAAAATTATGCGCTGTAAAGTTTCAGTACGTCATAATCTTCAGAAGTTCCTGTAAGAATATTCAAGATCACATTTGTCGTTGTTCTTTCTATTGCACACAAAACTGATACAACGTTGTTTATGTCCAACAGAGAAGTTAGTTTAACTTTTTGTTTCTGTGGTTATATCAAAGTTTATTAGTCACAAATTTAGTTTCTAAAAATATTCCAATATAGTCATGTAAGGTGGTATTGGACAAGCATTCTGGCCAGTAACTCCCCTGATACAAAATCTACAGAAATCAAGAACAACCAAAGTATCGTGCAGAAAACTCAATGATGAATGTAAGTAGATCTGCTGAAATCCACAGAACTGCTCTGTTATAAATTCTTCAGCAATCTGATAAGCATCTGGTCCGTATTTAAAATCTCTCTGTTCTCCCAGCTGGATTGCCAATGTTCATTATTGTTTTCTTTATAGGAGCTGTGGTTTTCTTGGCGCTTTTTTTGTTTTGTTTTGTTTTTTGTTTTGTTTTGTTTTGTTTTTTTCCTTTTCTTTTCCTTTTTTCTTTATTCTCCCCATAAAGAAGGACCAAATGAAAGTTCCAGAAATACACACAGACTGCCGAATTATTAGGGTCTGCTTCTTATTTGAGTCCCATCTCTAAACAGCTAACCTAAAAACTACTCACTTCTAGTGTTTATCCACTGACTTCAGCAGGGTTGTGTTGATTTTTTCCTTTTTTATTTTGGACCCATTCTTATGTATTTTACACCATGCATGATTTAAAGTTTGCAGCTGACAGCAACACATAAAAGATATTAGTATTTAAGCAATAGTGTGAGCATAAAATGTGCAAATAGGGTGTGCAGGGAGCACATTTGCTGGCCCATGCTAGCTACCTCTTTTAGGAACTCAACACCCTGGTAAGCCTGTGCCTGGCAGGTTTAGATCTGGACACTAACGATCACTGCGCCTGGTAAGTATTTTCTTTGGACTGGCTGTTAGGAACAACACTGTCTCTACAGCTGGTCTCAGCACTCAAGAATTATTACACACCATGTGTTGTCTTAAATGTGAT